AACGGGCTGATTCCCTAACCTAAACTGATATATTATATATAACATATTTTCAATATTTTTGTAGTACTCTAGATATTTTGTCCATATTACTTATGTATTAATTCTCAAACCCTCATCAGGTACAACGACTACTTGGTTCTTGTTGGATATCGCCTTTTACAGCCAAAACCTAACGCAAAAGGACATTTTCCCAGTAATGGGTTTGACACAAAAGGATGTTGAGGTTAACGCTCTGCGAGAAATGTTCGAGACCTCACGAGCCATGTTTGTGATTGCGTTCTTCGGCACTTTCCCTGGTTACTGGTTCACCGTCTTCTTCATCGAGAAACTCGGGAGGTTCAAGATCCAACTTGTAGGGTTCTTCATGATGTCTTTCTTCATGTTGATCATAGGCATCAAATATGACTACCTCAAGGCCCACAAGTACATGTTTGCAACCTTGTATGGTCTCACCTTTTTCTTCGCCAACTTTGGCCCAAACAGCACCACTTTTGTTCTTCCAGCTGAGTTGTTCCCTACCAGGGTCAGATCCACGTGTCACGCGTTGAGTGCGGCGGCTGGAAAGGCCGGTGCCATGGTGGGTGCGTTTGGGGTGCAGAACTATACTTTGGGTAAAGGAACGAAGGATATCCAGAAGGCTATGTTCTTCTTGGCTTTTACGAACATGCTAGGGTTTTGTTTCACGTTCTTGGTCACTGAGACTAAAGGCAGGTCGTTGGAGGAGATCTCTGGTGAGGATGGCGGTGGCGAAACAACTGGAACACAGATGACTGGTACCAATTCATCATCAGTAACGAGGTAGTTAATTAACAAGGTTTAATTATCAAAGCCGATCAATAAAATAAGTATTTACTATTTGGTTATGATATATATATATATCAATAAATGAGCTCGATGGGGCAAATTTAGGGTCATTTGCTCTGAAGCATGCCCTATAGGCACAAATAAGAGCTGCTAAGTGTTGTGAACTTCCAAGTGAAAGAAAGTTTGAGTGTTAATTGTAGCGAAAACATGAAAAATATAGTTTGAGTGGGGGTGAGGTTTTTATATTGTTTATTTTCCTTCTTTCATGTATTTCTCAATGTAACATAGAGTGAAGTGAAAATTAAGATGTTCTTATATATATGTTTGTTTGCTACACAGTCATTATTAAAGAATCGATCTTATTATTTTAGGCCACTACTTTCCTTTAGTTACAAAAACATATGTTATTATATACACCTAATGAAAAGTTCCATTGTGTGATCGCAACACACAAACTCCTCACTACATCCCTCAAATGATTTATTGGTTATGCAAATGATTGATTAATTAATACTCGAAAACTTACAATTGAAATAACTTAACAGAAACTATCTTGTTTATAAAGATCACAATCCACTTTTCTATTGAATTTAAATTAAAGGGTCCGTGCAAAGGATCCACTAGTGTAGTGGTTTTAAGCAATTGCTTCTCCATGAAAAGTTATGGGTGCGTTCCTCTTATTTGACATGTTTCCATTTTTCTTTTTTTTCTTTTTTTCTATTGTTAACAACCATTGAATGACACTATATGGACTCGAACCCAAATTGCCTACTAAAATCAAGGGGATGAATTCCAACTCAACCAAATACACATTTGTGTTACTTTCCTGCACTTTCAAGTATATATATAATACCTATAATATTAATATACATAATATACATGTAAAAAAAATAGGGAGCCCTTAAAAATAGAGGGCACTTAGCGATGGCACCACTTGCACACCCTCAGAATGGCCCCTGCTCTCAATAAGAAATGGAATTAGGAAAAACTCACACACACGCACACTAGTACTGTGGGGATTTGAACCACTTGAGAACAATAGCACACCAAATAAATGGCCGATTTCAACTAACATCCTATTAATAAAAAATAATATGATTATCAAAAAACCCCAAAGGAAACATATGTTAGAAGTGTGACATAAAACACGAAAAATAGCTAAAATGGACGGCTTAGATTGTCCGTTGATTTACGCATCTCATTTGAATAAAAGAGTGGTGTGTGTACTGTATCAGCGCACTTTATTTGTTGCTGGCGCTACATCAACTCCCACGTGTCGCACTTCACCCGTGACACCTAACAAACTCGAACCCTCTCAGCTGGACCACACTCTCTGAAAATTGAAGCCCTAGAAATTAGTCTCTTCTCACCCAAATTTCCCTCCATGAAATGGGACATGGAAATCGAAGAAATTGAGGCGGTGCTCGAGAAGATTTGGGACCTGCACGATAAGATCAGCGACGCCATCCACTCAATTTCGAGAGCTCACTTCCTCAGCTCTGTCAATGCCCTGAGAAGTTCCGACAAGAAGAAGCCGCATGCCAACGACGTCGCTGTTGATGAGAACCGGACCGGCTACGTCTACGTGAAGGACTTCCG